TTTGGTATAAAATAAGTTCACCAAAATTTGTGGTAATAATTGTTTTTATTAGTTTTTAGTTTTAGTTTTTATTTTTAGATTTTGTTTTAGCTTTTGGTTTTTAAATTTTTAAGTTTCTATTTTTGATTTTCAGATTTTGGTTTGGATTTTTAATTTTTAGATCTGCTGAGTTAGTTTGAAGATCTAATTTAAAACTGAAAAGATGACAATTTTTTTTAAAAAAAATTGCAATAGTTTATTTTGTAAATAAACAAAAGAAAAAAAAATAAAACCTGCATTTTCAGCTTTTGGTTTTGGATTTTCGTTTTTAGATTTGGTTTTTTTTTCTTTACATTTTTTTTTAAATCAGTAAATTATTTAAGAAACATAAAACAATAAATTATTTAAATATTACCATTGAAAGTATAAAAAATGATTGTTATTTAAAATAAAAAATACATTAATATGTTTTAAAGTACATGATTTAAATAAATGATTATTATAGACAATTTTGTTTTGTTAAAAATATTAAATACCTTTGGACCTGAAAATAATAATTGATTTTTTATCCATTAAGGTAGAAAGTTTATTCAATGTTTTTTAGAGTTTTTCCTTAATACTAGGTCAAAAAACCAAACCATATAATTTGTCCCAAAAAAACCAAAGTAAACTCAAGAGTATATCCCATAAATAACCGCTTTAATTTAAATAATGCGGTTCAACTAACTATATGACTCGTATTATATGTAACATTCTAGAAAAGATTCAAATTTAAATGACAACTTGTATTAATAAATAAAGAGAAAGACTCTATTTTAATACAATAGATATTTGTTTTTTTTCTATTAAATGGGAAGAAAAATATACTCTTGCAAAGTCAAATTTATTTTGTATTTAAATGATGAGGAAAGAAAAAGTAAGTCACACTAGAAGAATAAAATAAACTAATAAAAGCCTCCCATCCATGAAGAAACAAAGCTACTTTTCACATTTCTATTTGAATATGGTTGAATCATAGATGTAGCAACAATATATGTTTTAAAATAATACAATGTAGAAGAAATAAAAGCTACTTTTCACATTTCTATTTGAATATGGTTGAATCATGGATGTAGCAACAATATATGTTTTAAATAATACAATGTAGAAGAAATAAAAGAGTAGAACTAAATAGAAAACATATATCAAAGAAAATGGACTACACAACTAACTCATTTTCTACTCTTTTATGTGTATTACAGTCTTGTCAAAGAAAAACACTGATAAATCTCTTCATAATCTGTCAGCCAATACATCTTTACAATAAAAAGTACGCAAAAATAAGCGAATAAATATCATTGCATCCTGCAACCACTGGACTCAGGCGCACGTTGTACATTCCCATAAGCTGTTAGCTCAATGAGATCCATATCCCTCCCTAAACCAAATTCCCGCAAAGAACAGTTTAGGATCAAAACCCGTCTAATAAATAGTTTGTGTTGAATATAGAAGAGAGAGTGACTAGTCGGAAGGGTTACTGCAGAAATTACCAGCAACTCGGCAGTAGGAACTCCTCTGGATAAGCTCTGCTCTAGAAATATCGGTTTTATTCCCCTTTGATCGGTTTACCTTTGCCTGCAAATATGAAATGGAAAACATCTCAGCTATTGTCCTACTAGGTTCCATTGAGGAGAAGACATAAGCTAAAAACCTAAAAGTCTACATTTGGTTTGAAATTTATAACTAGACCAGCCATAAGACAATAAGAGACTAATAATAACTATAAGCATATATATTGTAGTAGTAGACATCAAAAAGCTGCATACCTGCAGAACTTGACAGTTTTCCAGAGTGCTCTTGCCACCCTATAAACATTACAAAAGAGATTCTTCAGATACCTTTAGAAGAAGCATAAACATGTAGATGCTATCTTACTCTTGCATATACTACTATAAATCCACTATGCGTTTTAGCGAAAGAACGATAGTTTCACCATCAAAATACAAAATAAATCTCAATTTCGAGAATTAGGGTGTCACAATCAGATAAACTAAAAATGAAAGCAAGGAGCATGACAGTAGTAGTAGTTCCAGAGCTTTCTGTGGATTTTTAAGGTCTCATATGGTTGTTTTACCTTATATCTAATAGTTCTAACATAGTCCTGAAGCTGCAAACATTTCCACCCGTATATTCAAAGATAAATGTAAAACTGTACCGAAAAGCCTAAATTTGATGTGAAACACAGCAAACTTTTAGGTACAAGAATTATACAGGGGTCATCAAATGCGTGCTAACTTGATGGATAGTGTCTACGATCTAAGCAATGAATGATAAAGAAACTTTCCCGCCTAGATTCAAAGACCCAAACCAGGATTATATATCAAAGTTGTTTAGTCTTCAACTCAAACTTTGTCTGTCATCAACAACCCATTTACCTTTATCTTTCAGATTCCATATAAAAACAGTACACATAACAGAAACAGTCCAAAAATTTCTACTCATCGGCAAAACAGCCTCGCATTGAAGTGAGAGGAGTTGTAAGAAAGACAAACCTTGGAGTAAGGAACAATGTGGTCGTAGTCATGACACAAGCAACCAGGACAACCTACGAGCTTCCTAAACACAATGTTCCCTAAAGAATCTCTCCTCCAACGCTCAGGATCTCTGCCTTTAACCTTCTCCGCTTTCTCCCAGCATTGCTGCTTCACGCTGTAAGGAAAGCTCCTCGGCTCCGGATTCGGGTCATCGTAACCCGACCCGGGAAACAGACCCGTCTCCTCGCGGTCGAGTAAAGTGGCCGAAGTCGCAACCTTTCCACCGCGGGATTCGCCGGAAGTCCGGTTGGGTGACCCGGAAGAGAATCCGGGTCGGGTCTTGGGTGGGGAGGAAGAAGATGAGGGTCGGTTTCTGCGTCTCTGGTGGTGGTCTTTGCCGACGTGTTTCATTGCCGAGTGTTGTTGATTATCCGAAACGAAGGAGGAGTTTTTGTGGACGAAGAGAATCAAAAGATTACAGATTCGTCTTGAGATGAGTGTCGTAGGCCAATCCATTTTGAACTTTACTCCTCTTAGGCCCATAAGATTACATAATATTTACTACTCCTGGCCTCATTCATATATTTCAGATATTCAATTTGAAAATGAAAATTAGTAATTTGCTATTTGAGAGATTTGCCCTTTATAAAAATAGATAGAATGTTGACACAAAAAAAATTGGATTAAGAGGAAATAAAAGAAACAAACTGTTTTTATTTCAGGGGTTAACTATATACTTCCTCTATAACTTTTACATACCATTAAAATATTTCATAAGCAACCCAATTTTTCTACAACAATTTTTTTTTAAAATGGTCTTCATGGAGTCGTTATTGCCGCGTAACGTTTTTTTGACATTATACAAAATTAATTTTGTATATCTAAACTGTTAAAATTGAAGTATAATTTAGTATTTAATTTTGATTTTTTTTAAAAAATATTTACCATCGAATGATATTGAGCTATTCTAAGTTCTAGTAGTAGCATCGTTGGTTCTAGGACGAAGCTAAGATCATGAAGACTCTAAGAGCAGCCGCAACGCATGTTTTAAAGTGATCCTTAATTGTTAAAAAAATAATAAACTAATCATGTGAGCCTGCTTTTTTAAGGTTGTTGTGTTACAAAAGTCTCTTACACTCCTTGATTAAGGATCCATTCTTGTGCAGTATCATCAGTGTTCGCGGATCTCGAATTGTTATCTCCTATTTTTCAGTTTAAAAAATCAAAATAGTAGAAAAATCTTAATTGTTATTTTTTTAAGAATTTGTGTCCAATTTCACGGTTAATGTTCTAAGATCAATAAAATTTACGGTTTCTATGATGAATGCAAACGGAGATCCAACACATGTCATTAGAAGATATTCACATACTGCTTCAACTGTGTGCCATTGCTGCTCTCATTGACAGAAGATAACTTATGTATGCATGTAGGGTACTAGGGTTATCACAGGAATTAGATGTCTAAGAGATTGACGTGGTATGTAGACCATTCAGGCCCGGGTCTGAGGGAATACTCATGAACCATTGGTATTGGGCCCCCAAATTTGTAGAAGCTCCCAGCGTGAATATTTTAGTTGTATGTCGATTCAACAAGTCATAATATAAAAAAGCCACAAAATTTTAAAATCGAACTCGAACCTGTCCAGAATCGAGGACAGTTTTGAATGTGTACACACAATTGTTCAAAAAAATGTGTACACACAATATATTTAGGAAACACTATAAATTTCATTTGAAATCCCGTAATAAAAAACAATACAACGTTTTGACAAGAAAATTAAGACACAAAGAAACTAAAATATTCCACATAGCGAAACTATCCAAACAAGTCTATTACTCTATAGGGTCGGTGAACGCAACATATGATACTTAAGTAATGAAAACGTTACTGGGAAATTGCCTGGAAATTGCCATCAACTGGAATCCAAGATAATTAAAGACACTCTCACTCACTTTTCAAAAATATTTAATTTCTAACTTTAGTTTTCTTGGGCTTAGAAGTTTAGAATACTTTATATTCAATTATCAAAGAAAATACAAATACATTGACCAAATCAATCATTAGATCTAATGCTACTATGCTAGAGTAAATTTTGGACCAGATCAAGCTTTAGAAAAACTTTAATTTAAGAAAATAGAAATATGAAACTAATGATATAAGGATAAATATTAACGAAATCTGCTTGTATGGATATCTCTTAAATTTTTCTATTTTTGCGGTGATTTTAAATAGCATTTTTTTCTTTCTTTCCTTTTTAATTCCTTTTTCTTCTTTCTCAAGAATTGCGGTAGCTTCCCAACAATTTCCATGGAGACTTCTTCCGCAGACTTTATAAGATTTGTTTTGGTCTTCCTATAAGATTACTTAACAGGAATGTAAATCACCTCCTATAAAATTGGGACATGCTCAGCACGCATATTATCCATTCTTTGAAACCAGAGACAAAGAGAAAAACATTTTCATAAGAATTTGTTTATGGTATTTCACACACATAAATTCAGATTAATATGGAGGATATATCTGTTCTTAGCCCAATCTCTCTTCTCACCATTGCCACCTTCTTGTTCATTCTCAACCTTATGATGATAATCCAAGATTTCTCATCTTCTTTTCCCTATTCTCTCCATCTCTTCTTCTCTAACGCCTACATTCTCTTCGCATCAACAAGAAACAAGAAGCTAAATATTGAGCTTCCGACAATAAGGAAAGTTTCCGTCCCAACTCAGGTAGAAAAAAAGATGTCAATGGAAGAAGTCAAGAAGATGATCGATGACTCGGAAGCGTTATACGAGCGTTTAATAGACGAAGGTGAGGAATACTTGTTTGAGAAAAGTGAAATAACGGGTAAGGACATAGTGAAGAAGGCGTTCACATTGTTTGATGAAAATCAAGATGGGTTTATAGATGAAAATGAGTTGAAACATGTGTTGTCTTTGTTAGGATACAATGAATGTACAAAGATGGAGTGTAGGAAGATGATTAGGGTTTTTGATGAGAATAGAGATGGGAAAATTGATTTTTATGAGTTTCTGAAGCTCATAGATAAAAGTTTTTCCTAAGATAAATTGGAATCTATTTGATGACCTGTCTAATAGTACGCTTTCGTTGTCATCGCCTAATAAAATTATTAAATTATGTTTATATATATATATATATATATATATATATATTATTGAATATTGATAGTACATGTCGACAACGAGGAGTTGAGCTTTTACAGTAACGAATGTTAACAATATTTGTCCACAAAAACGAATATTAATAACGTTAATTAAAATTTGTGATGACTTTTGCATGGTGGTTCAGTTTGGTTGGCATGGAGTCTTCCTCTCTGTGTTTAAAGAAAAGTATCGTAATCTAATATTATGTTTACCAAGATCAAACAAAAAAATACTCTCAAAATATCATTAAAGTGATTTTGATTCTGAAAATGACAAGTACTCAAGCCCTGCATCTCCAATAGTTTTTGTGGTTCAGTGATTGAATATGCCTCTTACTAATGTCTTTAGAGCATAAACGTGTTAATCGATCATGACAGAAATTTACATTTCTGCTTGTTCCCCTCCTACTAATTCACTTTTTTGCTAATCACAACGTCGCTTCTGTTGAAGTTTTTACTTCTAAACCAACTTCTGATCTAGCTAGCGAGAGTTGAATCTTCAACTTTTAAGTAAACTTGATTCCCACTACTAATTCCTTGAGCATAAACGTTATTACTATTATAGAATCTGTAACTATTCTTGTTAGCCTTGCTACCCGACAATTAGCCTCATTAGCTAGTAACACCACTGACGGGGCTGTTCTTGCTAGCAGCTCTTTTGGAGTCTTGCAAAATGGGAATAAGTAAGTAAGGTTTGGGATGGTTTTTATTTTATCGGATTATAAAAACATTGGCGTTGTTATACATATATAGGTCTCAAGGAAGTATAGGCCACCCAGACAAACTCAATACAAGAAAGTTATAGAACACTATGAGTGGTTGTCGGGGAGGTGGATATCATTTCACACATTAAAAATAAAAACTTAGTACAGTATGGGTTATGAAAGAACTGGGAGTAAAGTCGCAGAGGTAAACTTAGTGTGTCAAAAAGAAATTGGGGGTTTTAAACTGATTAAAACAAAGAAGAAAGAAAAACGTAGGGTGCTCGTCGTGCATGCATTTACAACAAAATTTATATATTATCATACATACCTTGTTGTAGTAATTGAACTACTCTACTCACAATCAAGTAACAGAAAAGTGGACAAATGATTCTTGAAACTTCAGATTATAGCATGATTAATATTCCACTCGAAGAAAAAAAAAATCATATTCAATTTGGTTTTCAGTTAAACTAGATTTTGATCTGCGCGTCCGCGCGAATGTATTTTTGCAAAAATAAATTGCTATTTATTTTTTATATCAGTATTAAATATCATATAAGTGCCATCATATAATTAATAGTATTTTATACGTACTATAATATAAATTATTGCTGGGTTTGCGGGTTGACCCGCTCCGCTGCGAATTGAATCATTTTTTCATCAAAAATTTGACCGCAAGTGGGAAAAATATTATATATGAATCCGCCTTGTTTAAATTAGTGGGTAAACTTTAATATTTTTATCACAAATATATTTCATAAAATGTATTCCAAATAATTTAAACTTTACTTGATATCATATATATATTTCAAAGTGTGGATATTATTTTCTTTTTAAATTCTATAAAACATTGATAGTTAACGGATTATGTGTTTTTGTATGAGATAACCTACTACGTTTATGATTTGTGGAAGTTTGTTTTGCTTTGTAGTTTATAAAACAACAAAGATATTCATTTCAATATAGATCTCTATACTTTTTAAAATGTGGTTTTAATATTTAAAAATTATTTTATTGATTAACAAAATAAATTAAAAATATTCTTAGGAGCATCACTATATAATTAGAAGCTTTCTGATATATTTTTGTAATCAAACCATATAAATTTTCTAAGATAATGATTTATATTAAGACAACTATCTCATATCTAACCTAGATAATAAATATGAAATGTGAAGATAATGAATTAACCTGAGATTAATAACAAAAAAAACAACTATTAAAGATAAAAAATAAAAGAAAATGAAGAATGATCAAATTATATGTGGCTTCAAAAACCATTATGATATATCATCTACACATAAATCAAAACTAGAATCAGTAAACAAAAAAATTATGTGTATATATATAAAGTCTTATCATTTTAAAATAAAATAAATTTACTAAATCTAAAACAGAAAAAAAAATCATAAAAATCCAGTGACTTTGTTTCTCTGCTGTTAATGTCTTATATAGTAAATTGATAAATGTTTCTAAACGACATAGCTTTCACGAGAAAGTTTGAAATAAAATATTCTTTAATAAATTTTCAAAAATATTATACATATAAGGTAAGATTATTTTTGGAATATCTTGTTGGTAAAGGTAACGGAGTACATTTCGTGACTATATTGTACCATAATTTTGGTTGACAAATTTCACTATGAAAATTAATATTAAGTACATGAAATTATGAGAAAATATATCTCGTCAGTTGATTTTGTAACAACTTTTTGAATGACATGTTCTATAACAAATATTTAAATGTAAAATATATATTAGATAAAAATATAAATATTTAACAGATAAACATTGGTTTTTGTTTATTTGTTGTTTACGTCATCCCCTATATATTAATCGAGGAACATTTGAAAAGATGTAACCTCAATTTTGTATTAATTAAAAAAGGCCCCAATGCATATGTGTCATTCAATTAGGTTGTCAATTAGATTCAATTGAAAAATAAGTAAGTCCACATTGGATTTTTATAGGTTGCTAGATACATTAGTTAGTCAAACTATATGATATAATGATATGATATGCTATTTTATTTCCATAAATAAAACCTACGGAATTACCATAAATGACTAATATATATATATGACACTTAATGATTGTTTCCTAAGATATAATTTCTATTTTATTTTATTTCCATAAATAAAACCTACGGAATTACCATAAATGACTAATATATATATATGACACTTAATGATTCTAATAATAAATACTCTCTCTGTTTCAAATTATATGTCATTTTAGAGTAAAATTTTCGTTTCAAAATAAGTGTCGTTTTATAATTTCAATGCAAAATTTATTGATTTTAAATATTATTCTATTTTTTCATTGGTTGAAAAGTAGTTAGGTGTATAGATAATTGTGTTTTTATTTTGAAAATATGTAAAATTAATTGTTTTCTTAATATGTGTGCAAAACTCTAGAATGACAATTAAATTGAAACGGAGGGAGTATTTGATAACAGTTTATATATCCTCCATCATTTTTATTTAATTTTATATTATTAAAATAAATTAAACAATCAAATTAGCTATAAAATCAAACTTTAGATTTTTCGTATAGGTTATATTTTGAATTTTAAGAAACGAGAATAAATAACGAAACTATTAAAATTATTATGTTAAAAATTAATGATCAATAATTTAACATTTTATTATAAAAAGATATACATGATTTTAAAACCATATAAGTAAAAAGTATCATTCAATAATAAAACAAATATATATATACAAATTAAACTATATACCATATAAGATTACATAAATATTTTAATTTCAAAATTTTCAATAAATTTTCAAGAAAATTTATAAATTATAAACTTATTAAATTTTTCACATTGAATTTTTTTGTTATCAATGATTTAAATATCTTAGTTCTTTTTTAATTTTATATTTTTAAAAGATATTAACAATCGATAATATGGTTATTTTTTGTATATACCATACAAACTGAATGGATGTGATTATAAAAACCATAGGATTTGAATATGGTTTATCGATTAAACTGGAATATGTAAATTTGTATATATTTATAACGACGCATGAATATCTATTTGTTACATGAGTTGAACTATAATTATAATTTGTAAATAGCTAACAATTTATTACAACTAAGACTTCTTATTTTGATCTTTTGCTTTTTTAACAGTAACTAAATTGAAGTAAAGATTATAAATTTGATGGACAACAATTATTTGAAATTCTTTACAACCTTTTTTTTTATCTTTAAACAAACAGAGTTGTGTTCAATCGAAGACATATTGGTTTGATGAACACTAAATATGGAAGAATATAAAAACTTTTCTTTCATGCTTCTGTTTTGTTTTGTATTTTTATTTTCAAAATTTAGTGTTTTGATATTAATTCTAGATTTGATCATTTTATTAGATGATAGAAGCTTTTTTGTTTTTTATTCTTTTATTTAAATATATAATATTTTTTAATAAATGACTCTGTGACAATATGACTCTAAATATGATCAGATTATATATTTGTATAATATATAATATGATCTCAAACTAAATAATTATATTTTTGGTATAAAATTGAATAAACTGAAAACCGATGGTATATAAATCAAATCAAACTGAAGTACATATAGATTTAGAATAGTAGTTATATTTTACTGATCGAAATACCAAAAAATCGAGCCGAACCGAAACCCGATATCCGGATTGAACACCTCTAATCCGAATGAAACCGAACTATTGTTTTATTTTTAAAAACATATTAAAAATAATAACTTCATCCCGCGCAAGGCGCTGGTCTTATCCTAGTACTACTATTAAATTGAAAATAGAAGTCAAGAAACTTACTAATACAATTCAATATTTGAAGGTTGATATCAAATCGTTTGGATTCTTGTAGCTACTTTTTTTCCATAGCTATTCCAATGAAATTAATCTGACATTAAATGGTCATGATTAGATCTAACCTAGAAAATAAATATGAAATGTGAATATAATGAATTTACCTGAGATTTATATAATAGACAAATGTTTAGATCGTCCAAAAAAAAGAAGACAAATGTGTAGTTCACAAGAAAAAAACAAAGAAAAAGAAGATGATCAAATTATATGCTTCAAAAGAGAAATCATTATGATAGTTCATCTCCACATAAATCAAAACCAGAATCTAGTAAATCAAGTTTTTGAATAACATGTTTTACTACAAATATTTAAATATAATTTAAATTAAAAATTAAAGCGTAGACTACAATAATTTTTTAATTGATATATCTCACTATAGATATTTAATAAGACATTATTTTGTATTAACATTCATAGTTGTATAAATTTGATGTTTTATTTTCATATAAATCATACTACAAATATTATATTTGTTAGTGACAAAAATTAATTCTGTTTGTTATTTACGATTTTTAAAAAATAACAAATTTTTGTAACAATAAATAGCAAATCTCTTATTTGTAATACATCTATCTATGTTTCCAAACAATTCTAATGTGATTTTTAATTTTAATAATATAGAATGAAAGATCCAACTTAAAAATCTTACCTAGAAAAAATTGTGATGTTTCTATTTTAATAAGATAGATGGTTCTCTCATATTTCTTTCTAGCTACGTAGAAATGTAACATGTTACCAAAAAAATACTTATGTATATAAGAAAAGAAAATAATATTTTCCTTATCCAGTGATTACGAGGATTGTGCTTCAGATTTTTTGGGTTTCTCTAATTTGATTGGTTGAGGAGATCTCTCACTCAGACAATAGTATTTCAACAACACGAGGGATAACAGTGGACCCCAACACTATCTTGTTCCAACCAATCTTAATGAAGATGTAGATCCTGTTATCTTCCCTCAAACACATCTCATCCGTATAATCAACCACGTCATCTGATCCAACGGTGAATGCTCACCCATTAAACCACAGCCACAAACTCACACACACAAATGTCTATTTCTTCACAATCATCTCCATTCACATCTTTCAATCTCTTGATTCCAATCACATTCCTCTGTTATCGAGTTCTCTTGTGTCTTCAGGGAAATGGCGACTGTCACTACTCAAGTCTCGGCCTCGATTTTCCGACCATGCACTTCGAAGCCAAGGTTCCTCACCGGTTCTTCCGGCAGATTGAACCGTGACTTGTCGTTTAAATCAATCGGCTCAAAAACGACCTCTTTTAAGGTTGAAGCTAAGAAAGGAGAATGGTTGCCCGGTTTGGCTTCTCCTGGTTATCTCAATGGCAGGTAAATTGATTATACAAAGCACATTCAGTTTTTGATTGGCTCAAGTTAACCCTGTCCCCTACCGGTTTGGTTAGATTACATCGTATCTGTCTTGTGGCGGTTTAAGTAACGTGTATGGTATTGGTCTCTCACTCTCTATACATATTTTTGCAGTCTTGCTGGTGACAATGGGTTTGATCCATTGGGACTAGCAGAGGATCCAGAGAACTTGAAATGGTTCATTCAGGCAGAGCTTGTCAACGGACGGTGGGCCATGCTCGGCGTCGCTGGGATGCTTTTGCCTGAAGTTTTCACCAAGATCGGTGAGTCACGTCACCATTATAACATGACCTGCAAAAACTGTAACAACATGAACTTATTAAGAGACATGTGTTTTGTCAAAACTGTTTGTAGGAATCATCAATGTTCCTGAGTGGTATGATGCTGGAAAGGAGCAGTACTTTGCATCATCATCAACATTGTTCGTGATTGAATTCATATTGTTTCATTACGTTGAGATCAGAAGGTGGCAAGATATTAAGAACCCAGGAAGTGTGAACCAAGACCCTATCTTCAAGCAATACAGCTTGCCTCCAAATGAAGTTGGTTACCCAGGAGGTATCTTTAACCCGCTTAACTTCGCTCCTACGCTCGAGGCCAAGGAGAAAGAGCTAGCAAACGGTAAGCTTAGTAATTGATTGATTATCAGTTACACATAGTTAAGAGTTAAAGACTAAAGAGTCTTTTGTTGTTGTTGTGGTTGCAGGGAGGTTGGCGATGTTGGCATTCTTAGGGTTCGTGATTCAACACAATGTGACTGGAAAGGGACCATTCGAGAACCTGTTGCAGCACTTGTCTGACCCATGGCACAACACTATTGTCCAAACCTTCAGCTGAAGATTTAAGACAGACTTATGAATCTCTCTTTCTTCTGCTGCTACCTTCATGTCTTAGCTTTGTGTGTTTCGTTTCGTCATAGAGTTCTTGGTTCTTGAGCGTGAAACAGTATGAAATTGTTGTAGCTCCATGAACGAATTTAAAACCTTCAGTGTACAGAACTAAGTTCATCAAGATTGTGATACTCTTTAATATCTCTCTCTATTTGTGAGGTACAATGATATAAGCACATCATAACTTACAACTTCAATCTCTTCAAACATTTGCAACAAGAAACCATCTACATAGTCTAATATAAGATAGACAAAGGCTACCAAATCATTTGCTACATATCTTGAGAAACAAGTCACACGTCGAAGCAAAAGAGTAGACACCATTAGTGTTGTTACGCTTATAAGTTATAAGCAGGTTATTTGCTCTGTTTTGTTACCGTTCTCTGGACCGTTGAAACACCATCCACGAATTTTGTTCGGAAGAGAACATCAGCGTTGTTGAACATTCCTTCTTTCAGTGAAACCACAATAAACTGAAAGAGAAATCATATAAATGGATAAGAAAACTTGAGTTAACACACAAGCTTTTATGATTTTCAGAATCATGAGAATAGCTAGTGACTAAAAGATCAGAGAAACACAGAAACTATGTGACCTGTGAATGCGGGAAATGAGATTTGATCATTCTTCCTATGTTCTGCGTGTGGCTAAGATCGAGAGCTGCATCTACCTAATAAATCGAAAGTAACGAATTATCTTATGTTCTTCACGAAAATGTCATCAAACTTGAAAAGGTCCTGTGATCGTGAACAATTCAAGATCACTGGAAACATGAAAACGGAAAGTCGAAACAATCTATAGTCAATTTATGCATTAAAATGGAAGGTGTACCTCGTCTAAGATATAAAGAGGAGCTGGCTTAAAGAGAAGCAATGCAAGGATTAAAGAAAGTGCAAGAAGAGATCTTTGCCCTCCACTTAGTTCAGATAGAGACTGTTTCCAGACACTTCCAAAAGCAACACGGACCTCAAGACCATCTAGGAAACTACCTCCTTCTGGAGGTTCTAGTTTTGCCATGGTGCCAGGTAGTAAAGTTGAAAAGATGGAACCAAAATCCCTGTAGATATCGTAAATTAATCAAAAGATGTAGTGAAATGAAGTGAATCCTATGGTTACACGAGAAACGAAAAGAAAATATAAACGACTCACTGGTTAACTTTAACCCATGTAACTTTCAGCGTTTCTTTTTTCTTCTCATCAAGCTCCTCGATCACTTTCTTGATTTTGGATTTATCAGACTATGAAATATCAAAGAAAGAAAACACACAGTTTTAAACGCAAGTACAGCTGTTAAAATATGTTGCACAGACCCTCCAAAAACTAACCTCGATTATATTCTTCTTCGCCATAAGAGCATTGTATTCATCTTCTGCTTTCTCAAACATAGCCATGACCTTTTTGTTCACTCTTTTCTCGAGACTTTATAAGAGAAATAAAATAGCCATGAAAAGTTTTTCAGATAGTTAAAGAGAAGAAACAAGAAAGAAAAAGAAAGCCAGATTCCGTTGATATTGCATTATAACCAGTTGCAAATATAAATCTACCTTGACTGATCTGTCTGGAGCCTTTCAAGTTCTTCTCTTGCTTTATAAGGATCACGGGATTCAAAGTCATAGTCCGTCCCTCCTTTTCCGAAAAGCGTTTTCTCGGTTATTATCCATGCATGCTTCTCAATAAGTTTGTCTACCTTCACAGAACAATCTTTCTGTTCGATCTCCATCCTCATTACCTAATCAGTGTAAAACAACATTCTCCTTGATCTTTTTCTTAATATGTATACTTGACGCAATTAAATAAAACCCAATAGTAATGCATCTCCAGCCAAAAACATTGAAGAAAGAATACCTCATTTTCCAACTTCTTTTTCTCAAGCTTCATGTCTCTAAGCTTCTGCAGACATTTTTCCTGGTCTGCAACAAAACCACTTATTTGTGTATCACATTCTTTCATCTTTTCGTGTATTAACTTGAGCTCAGCAAGGGACTGGTCATGATCCCTCTGTATGGCATCCACCTGCAGGGTAGTCACATCCAGAATTATGTATAAAGGATTATATAATCTTAAAAGACAGCAAGAGAAATAACTGCAGTGCCTTGGCTCGTTGCTTGTCCACATCGGAAGCCAGAGTGCTAATTTGCGTCCTCAATGAAGCTAGCTGGCTCTCTATAGATGACTGTTCCTGCACCACTGCTTCTTGCTCCATGACAAGCCTCTCTCTTTCGTTTTCATGACCCTATTAAGCAAGAAGTAACATAGAGCAAAAGCATTTAGAAATGTCAAAAGGCTAAAAGCTGGACAAACCAGATAAGGAAAGCGCAAGAAGTTTAATCAAAGTCTTTGACCGAAAGATCGGGAGTACCTTTAGATCTTTTGACGATGCCTGAATACGAGCTTTGATACTTTTAATATTCTTTTCCAAGTCCTTGAGTCTTCCCTCTCTGTTCTTATCATGATCTTTGATGGATTTCTCTAGCGTCGAGACAGTATCAGCACAACTCTTGTAACGACCTTCCTTCTCTTTGATCTGGGATCTCATTTCTTCAAACTCTTCTTCGAGTTTCTTCACCACTTCACCAAGCTACATATATAGGCAATTGATAGGAGCGAGAGTATTAAATGTGCTTTCAGCATCACAAGACAGCAAAAATTTGAACTGGGGAAAAGTAAACTAGAAAGATGTGGATGGAAGAAGATGCAAAATGGAGATACAAACCTTGTGGTGCTCGTTCTGTTCAGCCCTTTTTAAAAATAAGGATAGGTCATACATTTTAAGCTCCAACTGTGCTTTCATGTCTGTGAACTGCTTTTGAAGAGGCTTAAGCTCCCTGATCTGCATTGTTAAAATGAAACAGTAGGGTTTTACACAACCATGAGAGTTAATTTTACCAAAGGATCCCAAAGAAGAGCAGACAATAACATCATGTGCGCGCCTTCACAAACATATGTGAGGTACGGAAAAATCCTATAAAACCAAACATGAGATATAAAAAAATATGCTGGAATAAAATTAGTTAAACATTTGCTTCCTTTGATCCTGAAACAACAAAACTCATTGAATATCTGAGATGACGAGGCATCTAAAAATGGTTCAAAGTCTCAGTTTCAGCAGCTCAGATTATATTTGCTTTTAAACAAAATATGAGACCTGAGTTCCCAATGATCCAGATCTAATTCTAAACTCTCGAAGAAGTATAAGCTTTATGCTTCAAGCGGTTTAATCGAAATTCTGTGATGTTTAACTCAGCTGTAAACCCCAATTTGTGATTTTCTAAAAGGAAAGTAATAACTAGTGGAAAAAAAAATGATGGAAATTTACCTTTGCTTCAATTTCGTACAACCTTTTCTGGTGTACTTGAAGTTTTGTTTCAGCCTCTGCCAGATCATGAAGTTGCCTTAGCAGCTCACCGCCACCCCTAAGACAGAAAAATATGAAGTACAAAATGTTTTTGGTCAGTGTTTAGGACTGCTGAACCATATCTGTATGAATCAAGTACATGAACGTCAGAAGGATCTAGAGGTATAATCGAAAGAATGCATACTTGCGACTTCCACCAGTAAGAAGACCACTTGGCTGAAATATATCACCTTCAAGTGTCACAGTTGGAGTCCTAATGTCCCTATTAAAAGCAACCTGCCGATCAATAGTTTGAGCAACACAAACAAAGAATGAAACATGTAAAGGGAGGTCTATCATCGAAATATAGGTATCTAATAGTAGAAAAGATAATAAGGAAAACATATTGGGTCAGAAAAATGAACATATAACCCAGCAAAGCTCAAGTTTTGAGAAAAAAATAATCATATGAGAATTATCCCTCTGCTAGAGACCATGGTCAGAGAGGCTGGCTAGACAGTTACATAATACTGAATCATTTAAAGGAACTAAACTCTTCTAGGGCCATTCCGTAATCTAAAGAGGGAAATCATCGTCTGGAATTTTGACATAAATTGTATTCTTCACTCTGATAATCAAAGAGAATGGTTGATTAAAGAGACTTTATAACAAAGACGCAGCTGAAAATACATGTCGAGTAAGAAAACACATACAACATCCTCCACGAACACAGAGTTAGAACACAGATACTCTGTTGTCTAGGAAATACTTACTTCTTTTGCAACATCAGTAGTTTTGCAAACAAAAGTGGATCCAAATACAAATTCCATGGCATTCTGCAAGAGAATGTCGAAAATTAATGGTCATGGCTAGTCCTCTCTGTCCGTCCGTAACAAAATGTTCTAACTAAAAATCAGTAGATAAACAGCTCATAAATGTGACGATCAATTTAAGCATTGCATAATATATTAGTTATCAGAAATTTAATAAGCTAATGGATGATGCAAATATAACCAACTAAACGCACGTTTAGTTGATGCAAATGTAAGCTAATGGATGATGCAAATGTAAGCTAATGGTATTTTGGGCAGGCAACCAAAGCACCTTTATTTCTTCGCTATAACCAACTAAAGAAAGTGCCAGTTCCGCGTTACCCTTACCCACCTGAAAATTAATAGAAAATCAGCAAAGCACAAAGAAAAAAAAATGGAATTTGACAGTAGATCCACACACCAATCTGACAGCGGCTTGCTGCACTCTAGGTGGAACCAAGTGAGACTGAATTTTGTTAAGAGGTATAATTGTAACCCTTCTCCGTAGATCACCCTTCTGTAGTAGCTGTTTTCCAGTATCTTCTGTGTCTACAACAACATTAAATAACTTTCCACCAGCAGTAACCTGAAAAATAGCCATCTTAGAGTCAAATGAGTTAACGATGTACAATGGTAAGATCATAACCACTTACCTCCAGGGCTGTCATCGAGGACCTGTCATTTACTTTTATCAGTTTTGCAACCACACCTTTCACCTTTGATCGATCAAAGTTCTTCACAGGATCACGATATGTAAACTGAACATTTGCTAATTGAGCTGAAAGATTTCGCACAATGTCTTTCAGCCTTTGCCCAATTTCAAGTTCCGATTCTCGATCCTAAGAGAAAATTCAAAACAGATCTTTATCTAACAGACGGGAAAAAACTCAAATAACAAGCGCGCTAACCTTCTCCAGTGCTTCCACCTGACCATCTTTATATGAAACAGAATCAAGTGCTCTTTTCACACTTTCAACATCATTTTTCCTAGCATCAAGTTCATTTTCCACTGCAACAGCTTCTTCTC